GGGAAAGTTCTCTCCCCAAACCTTATGAAACTGAACAGACATTGCTTATCAAACTCCCATTTATTTTTAATCACACTTAAAATAATATTGGAGTCTATTTCCTCCTAACATGGGAGTTTAAATACTTATTAAGAGGCAACTTTACATAGTAGATAAAGATCTGACCTCTGAATCAGAAACCTGGGTTCAAAACCTCCCTCTGTCATAATTGACTTTGTGACTCTGGGCATGTTTCTCACTGGCCCAGGAAATTCTCCCAACCAGGACCTTAGCAGTGCAGCTGATCTGCATTGGTGAATTAAGCTCCTCGCCTAGAGATCCTTACACTGATGACATCACAGTTACCATTTTAAAAAAGCTCCTTATCACCATATATATATATATATATATATATGCATGTATATATAAAATACTGTGCAATTTACAAGATTTCTTTATACCCTTCACTTGATCTGATCTTAGAATCAGTGTGGTACAGTGGAACAGATGGCTAGATTTGGAGTTAGAAGGCCTGGGTTCTAATCCTGACTCTGGCATTTACTTCCTATAGAACCTTGGACAATTCATTTTCCTTCTCTGGGCCTCAGTTTCCTAAATTGTAAAATAAAAGGATTGGGCTAAATGACTTCTAAGGTCATGTCTAACTGTAAATGTAGGGTCCTGAGAATTCCAGAGTTGAAGGGGAACGCAAAGATTTACTTCTTCCTATCCTTGTTTGATGAATGCTTGTTTGGAACATTCCCTACAAGTCCCCTTCGGGGCCACTTGAATAATAACAAGAATTCACCTTTAAAATTGCTTTAATGCTTGCAAAGAGTTTTTGACTTTCATTGCCCATTGCAGCCAGCTCCATTTCGATGATCCATTCTGCCAAAAACTGGTCAGGCAAAGGCAGGTAATGAGCTCAGAGCAGGGAAAGTGACTTGCCCACAGTCACACATTAGATAGGTGACTCAAACCTCACTCTCCTTGCCTGTCCTGTTCTCTTGCTAGCACACCAAGCTTGCCTCCTGAATTAATTTTCACAAAGAACACCAAGAATCCATTAGCAAACCAAGAGGAACAGAGCTTGCTCAGAGACACTAACTTTGAAAGAGCAGAGGGGTCTGGGTGATGGGGACTCTGACAGTGACTCTGCTATCTCTAGGAAGGATCAGTGGAAGCTGGGATTGTTGTGAAGGGGATAAATGGGACTTGCGCATGCACAGAAACAAACAGACATTAAGAATAAATCCAGAGAAATAATTGTTGTTGTTATTCAGTTATGTCCAACCGCATTCAGGGTTTTCTTGGCAGAGATACTGGGGTGATTTGCCATTTCCTTCTCCAGCTCATTTTACAGATGAGGAAACTGAGGCAACCAGGGTTAAGTGACTTACCCAGGGTCACATAGCTAGTAAGTGTCAGAGGCCAGATTTGAACTCAGGAAGAGGAGTATTCTTGACCCCAGGCCTGGTGCTCTATCCACTCCACCACTTAGCTACCTGTAATGGGTACATACAAAAACACAGAGCTACATTCTCTGAACATACAACTTACTTGTAGCAGAAAAGGGAGAGTGGTTTAGGGAGTGCCAGTTCAGGAGGCCCATAATCAAGAAAATCTAGCTGTTATGGATTTATACAAATTCACAAAATGTCTACTAAGGGCTCAACAGAAGGGGTGCAAAGGAGAGAATACTGGACTTGGAGTCAGGAAGACTTGAATTCGAATACTGTCTCAGACATTTACAAGCTATGTGTCCCTAGGTAAGTCACCTAACCTCTCCATGCTTCAGTTTCCTCTTATGTAAAATGAATGACTTGGAGTCAATGGCTTTTAAGGTCCATCCCAGCTCTAAATCTGTGAGGTTATGATCCTATGTCCTGTGCTCACTGATGGACATTCAAAGATGGAGATGACATAAACCCTGCTCTTAAAAAAAAAAATACCATCTAATGAGGAGAGCAAGTACACAGATGGTGAGCCAAAGGAGATTCTAGGCGAGTAGTCTGGGAGAGGTCACGTTCAATCTTTTCTGCATCCATCTTACGCGCGCACACACACACACACACACACACACACACACACACACACACACACACACCTGTATTTACATGGCATCTCCCACCTTAGAACATGAGCTTATTGAGAGCAAGGACAGTGTTTTTCCCTTTCTGTATAATCCTAGTATTTATTTAACACAGTGTCTGGCATACAGTAAGCACTTGATAAATGCTTTTTGATTGACTTATTGACTTTCATCTGGAAGTCAAGGAATGTGTTCTGGAGGAAGAAGCAAGCAGAACTGGACTTTGAAGGAACAGAGAGACTGCAATGGCAAGAACCCCTTAGATTGCATGTGTTTATAATCGGCAGTTTGGCTCAGTAAATTCTATATTAATTCAAAATCATCAGTGCCCATTTATATTCTTTTAAAGAAAAACTATAGACATTATGCATCAGAACTGGATAAAACTAGGCAGTCTGATGTGACAAGAAAGCAAAAGGAGAATAACTAAATCAAGATTCTGCCAATAAAGCCAACACCTGTAGCTCATCTGAGAGCTAAATCTTAAACAGAAAAGTGAGGCTGACTTGACACCACTCCTCTCCCATGCACGTTTTCCCTTTGGTGCTCTAGATATGTCCCTGAAGGGTGGTTGGGTAAACAGCTTTTAAAAATCATTTCAACTGTGTGTACCCTTTGACCCAGTGAGACCTCTACTAGACCTTTAAGCCAAAGAGATCAAAAAGGAAGGAAAAGGGCTCATCTGTACAAAAATATTGACAGCAGTTCTTTCATGGAGGCAAAGAACTCAAAACAAAATGGATGCCCACTATTTGGGGAATGGCTGAACAAATGATGGTATATGAATGTGTATCCATGTTACAAATGTAATAGAATAATGTGCTGTAAGTAATAACAAAAAGGAGGGGTTCAAAAGAAATCTGGGAAGACTTGTATGAATTGATACAGAACGAAGGGAGCAGAAACAAGAGAACAATTTATACAATAACATTATAAAGACAACCAACTGTGAAAGACTTAGGGACTCTGATCAGTACAATAACCCATCACTATTTCAGAGGACTGATGATGAAGCATGGTACCCACCCACCTCTTGACAAAGGTGTGATGCAGAATGAAACATACATACATTTTTGGACATGACCAACATGGGAATTTGTTTGCTTCAATATGCTTATTTGTTGCAAAAGTTTTGTTTTTCTTTTATTCTTTTAAATTGGGGATGAGTAGGAAGGTGAGAAAAAATGCTTGTTAAATGAAAAATAAAATAAAAATGGTCACAAAGGAGTATAGAAACAAGACACAGAAAAATGGCAAACAAAGCTCTTTAATTTTTTAAAAAGTGAATATAGGAGGAACAGAAACAATTCCTGTTCCCCCTCCCATCATAAAACAAAACAAAACATAAAGCAAGCAATCATGATTTCAGTGAGTGATACGGAAAGTAAAAATTTTTGTGATGCAACTTACAAAATGAGTTGCACCCAATATTGTTCTTAAACACATACATATATGTCTGTATCCTTATTGATGAATACACACATACTTACATATACATACTCTCTCTCTCTATATATAAATATGTATATATATATATACATACATATCCCTTATTGATGGATCCTAACTATATCCTTATCACAAAATGGTTTATAATATCATTAAAATAAAAGTTTTTTTTTTAAAGTTTTTAGGCAAATGGGGTTAAGTGACTTGCCCAGGGTCACACAGCATCATTAGAATAAAAATAAAAATGATTTGGAAATGTAAGATTGAAAAAATCAGAGTGATATTCAAGTGGAGGAGCTCCTGATCCATACTGAGTTCCTGGAAAAAGAAGAGTGAGCAGGACACAAGGACTTACCAACACAGTTCACCAAACACTGCTCTATTACCTTCTGCATTAGGTTTCTGTACTTTTGCTTTTTGTTCCTTGCCACCGTATTTGGGTCTGAGACCCATTCATCCAATATGGTTTGTAATAAGTATGTTTATATTTTTCAAAAAAGATCCATATGATATCATAAAATGTTTTACTTGGTGCTGATAGGTGAGATTTAAGATTTTAACACAAAGATTCCACTAGAAAATGAAAGCTTCTGAAAGTATCAATCTTGGCCCCAAGAGAAGTTGAAGAAGAAACTCCCTTCTTTCTTTTCTTTATTTTTAATTAATTAATTAATTTTCAGTTTCCAACATTCATTTCCATAAGCTTTTGAGTTTTAAATTTTCTCCCCCTCCTTCCTCACTTCCCTCCCCAAGACAGAGTGCAATCTGATATAGGCTCTACATATACATTTCCATTAAACATATTTTTACATTAGTGCAATAGGAGGAAACACAAGAAAAAAGAAACAAAACAAAACAAAACAGAAGAAATAAAAAAGAGCAAATAGTCTGCTTTGATCTGCATTCAGTCTCCATAGTTCTTCCTCTGGATGTGGATAGCATTTTCCATCATGAGTCTTTTGGAGAGGTCTTTGGTCCTTGCAATGGTGAGATGAGCTAAATCTATCCAAGTTAGTCACTGTACAATGTGGCTGTTGCTGTGTACGGTGTTCTCCGGGTTCTGCTTACTTCACTCAGTATCAATCCATACAACTCTTTCCAAGTTTTTTTTGAAGCCTACCTATACATTTCTTATAGCATAACAGTATTCCATTACATTCATATACCACAACTTGTTCAGCCATTCCACAATTGATGGACATCCCCTCAATTTTCATTGTCACCACAGAAAGAGCTGCTATAAATATTTTATATGTGGGTCCTTTTCCCATTTTTTATAATTTCTTTGGGATACAGCCCTAGAAGTGCTATTTCTGGGTCAAAAGGTATGCACATTTTTATAGCCCTTTGGGCATAGCTCCAAATTGCTCTCCAAAATGGTTGGATCAGTTCACAACTCCACCAACAATGCATTAGTGTTCCAATTTTCCCACATCTTTTCCAACATTTATCACTTTCCTGTTTTGTCATGTTAGCCAATCTGATAGGTGTGATGCGGTACCTCAGGAAACTTGCCTCTTTCACTGGAGAAGGAGTAATAATGTAAGGGGGATACTGTATACATTTTCAAATATGTTCACTGTGTCAGCTGGTTTTGCATTATTGTTTTTCCTTGTTACATGGGAGATTCGCAGGAGGTGATTAGCATATCCAGAAAAGGCTATGATGCAAGAACAAGTGAAATCAATAAAACAGACTCCCCTTATCACAAGAAATTTGAGAATCACTGATTTTACCCCCATGGATGAGAAATCCCCAAACTTAGGGCTAGGCTAGAGGAAAAAAGTGGGTTATTAGCCCCCAAAATATAGCTGAGTGAGCCTGGGTCAGCAGTGACCCCAAACATGACTTAAAAATCTGTCCTATTATGGATGGATTCCCCACTCCACCCACTCACCCTAACCTGAGGGAATTCATCATTTGACATCTCATACTTTCAGCAGATGAGACTCCTGTCTAGCCCTTGTAACCTTTCCCATAGTGCTCTTCACCATGGACTCATCTCCATAAGACTCATTATGACACATCTCTGCATCATCAGCTTCTAAGTAAAGTATCTTGATGACCTTTTGATGTATAAGCAACAGCCCCAAGTCTTTCATGCAGAAAAAACTGAGCTAGTCATGCCAGGCTAATGGTGGTATGAGATTGCTATAAGAAATGATGAAAAGGACAGTTTCAGAGAGACTTAGGAAGCCTTGTATGAACTAATGCAGTATGATTGAGACACAAAAAGTGATACCATAAGCAAATAGGGGGAGCCTGGAATAGTTTACTTGTTAGGTCTATGAAGAATTTAGGACCAAACAATAGAGAGCATTACAAAATGTAAAATGGACAATTTTTATATTAACTTAACAAGTTTTTGTACAAACAAAATCAATGCAACCAAAATTAGAAGAGAAGTAGAAAACCAGGGAAAAAATTACAGCAAGTTTCTCTGATAAAGGCCTCATCTATAGAGGCCTTTCTATTTATAGAGAACTGAGTCAAATTGGTAAGAACTGAAGCAGTGAGTTAAGCAGAACCAGAAGAAAGGAGATAATTTTACTTCATATATCCAAAGTCAAGTCAGCTCTGGGTGTCTCACTTAGAAGAAAAAAACAACAAATTTATGGTATCATTAGGAGACCTGGGTTCAAGTTCTAGCTATAACACTTATTTTTGACCTTGGACAAATCACTTCCTTCTTCTCCCTTAGTTTTATCATTGGGAAATGAGGTGGTGGAACTAGATGACATTTAATAAGGTCCCTTTTAGCTCTAACATTCAACTTCACATGTTGTAACATTCAACACTTTAAGCTCTCTTTTAGCTCAAACATTCTGGGCTGCTTTGTGATTTTTTCCCTTCGGGCTCATTTCCATTCATCATAAGGTCATAATCAAAGCTTTTCAGCAAAATTGGAATCAATGGCACAAGAGTAGTATCAAGGACTTTCTTAATCAGGATTAAGGCATACTGGGTGGTTAAGCTGCTTTCTAGCATCCAGGTGAAATACTGCTTTCTTGACTCTCTAGAGGACACTGACCCTCATCAAGGTGCTAAAATGCTTTGGGGTTAAATGCCTTTCCACCAGCTAGCCTAAACTGCTTACAGAATTCATCGCATCACAGCTAAGATTGGAACAGAGAAGGCTAAAGCACAGATCAGCATGTGAGAGCTGGACTAGGTGTGGAACGCAGAATGTTAGAACATTGAAGTCAAGCATGAGACATTGAAAAATGTGCTGAACCTGTAAGAGTTAAGGATACCTGGATTTCTAGCTCTGCTTTCATCACCAAAGACTTTAATGCCATTGGGGGAGTCACATAACTTCTCCTGGTCATAGTTCCCTCACCTGTGAAATTAAGTTTGGATTAGAAGATTTCTAGGCTCTCTTCTAACTCTAACATCCCTTATCACTACCTCTATGATTGTATATAGAAAAGAGAATAACATAGACCCAAAAAATCCTAGAATGAGTTCTGGCTTTACTACTTACTAGCCATATGACAATGGCAAAAAACTTAAGCATTCTGTGTCTCAACATCTTCATTTGTGAAACTTAGATAATATCACTTGTCTACTTCATATGGTTGTTATAATGAAAACACTTAGGAAGCTGTAAAGCACCATATACATGCCAGCTATGATTATTATTGCCAAAATTTACATGTACACACAGAAAGTTAATGTTGAATTATAATTGACTCCTAACACCTCAGATCTGACACTAACCATAATCACAAGCTTCTTAGTCTCAAATATGTCATAGACACTTCTATGACAATGAAGATGATGATGATGATGGTGATGATGACAGTTAATATGTAAATAGCTCTACAAAGCACTTTATAGATAGTATCTCATTTCAACATCACAAACAACTCTGTGAGGAAGGTACTATTATTTTCACCCCCATTTTACAGATGAAACTAAGGTTCACAAATGCTGGACTCTTAGACATCATCATTATTCCCATCTCAAGCTGGCCATATTGTGGGATGTAGATGGGACACTGTTTCCCCTGTGCCCTAAGAATCTTCTGTGTAGAATGAGTGTTCATCATTGTTACATGAGTGAAAAAATGAATCCTGAAACAATAACTGCAAGTTGCATTAACCTTGCTGCCAGTTTATTAATATGTGGAGCTCTGTGAATTGTTAACAGGACAAGGATGAATTCCACTGGAGAGAACATCATAAACACTGGCCTTGCTTGCCTGGTGGTAGGGAGGCCAATCTATTATCTGCTATGGAAGAAAAAGTTTTCACTGGAAGGAACAATCTATCTGTACAGGTTTATCATTCCCTCGGAGGCAGCTGAAACCTCGACAATGGGAGCAAACAGGTTGGGAATCCATGGCCTGGAATCTGGGGTCTCTGGTCTCAGTACACTGCTACATTCATTCCATCCAACCCACAGGAGCTGATGTTTCAATAGCCCTCTCAGGCTTACAAAATACTTTTTCACAACCCTGTGAAGCAGATAGCACAAGGGCCATTTCTCCCCATCTTCCATATTAGGAAACGGAGGCTGAGAGTTTTAAGTGATCTCGCCAAGGTTGCAAGAACAGCAAGTGTAAATGACGAGATTTTAATCTAGGCTTTCTGACTCCGGATCCTGCCCTTTTTCCACTCTTGCAGGATGGCTTCTCATTCAACAAGGAAAACCTCATGCTAGAGATCGTAGGATTATAAATTCGGAGATGGAAGAGACCTTCGAGGTCACCCAGTCTGACCCCCTCACTCTAAAGAAAAGGGGAATGCAGAGCCCCAGAGAATTAAGGGACTTCACCAAGGCCATACAGAGAAGTAACAGAGCTAGAACTTGAGCCCAATCCCTCTGCTTCCACATCCAGAGCTCAATCCACTGTAACAAACCGAACATCAAGAAGTTTACAGTCTTGAAAGGGCCATAAAAAGTGAACCCGAAATAACTGGATAATAGTCATGAGGGTCCATAGGATCACAGATTTGAAAGCGGAAGGGACCTCAGCAGTCATCTAGTCTAACTCTCTAATTTTACGGATGACAAAACTGAGACCCAGGGGAAAGAAAATTACTTACCCAAGGTCACATAGGTAAGAGTGAGAGACAGGATTTGAAGCCAGATCCTCTGACTCCAGTGATAATGCTTCTCCCCAAACCCCTCACTCCCATCCCTGATGCCACACTATTTCCCTATAACTTCATTCTTACTCGTATTGTGAATGAAGATTGAATACAAAAAGTATGTGTGTGGTATCAACTAAGTGCTGTGATAGTGCCCACGAGGGAGAGCTCATTCCCAGCAGGGGGAATGGGGAAGGCTTCCAGTAGGAAGTAACCTTTGAGCTGGGGCCATGGAAAATGGATATGATTTTCACGGGCAGAAATGGAAGGAAGCATTCTAGGTTCAGGGGACATCATTCACTATGACCAAGGAGACAGGCCACCGCGGGAGGAGCAGGACAGACCCCAGTTGTCTGGCTGAGCTGGAGCAGGGCTTCAGACACAGAGTTTTTGCACCCTCAATATCACTTGAGTGAACATCATTAGTGTTTACAGAAATATAACCAAAGAGCCCTTCACTCCTCTTCTTCCAAGGGAATCGTACAGTGAGGGGGCCTGCTTTGGAACACTTCACGTAGATATTAAAGTGTCATTAAAAGCTTTCTATATATTTCATCTCTCCACATGCTGTTATTCCAAATAGAGCAGGAGTGACAGCTTAAAACCTACTCTCCCCCTACCTCGCCCACAGGTCTATGGATGCAAAGCAATTCAGCCACACTTATTAAGTGCCAACTGTGTGTACAGGCCTATGATCAGCACTAAGGATGCAAGGTGAAATGGGACATAGTCCCACCCTTTAAGAAGCTTATTGTCTAAAGGAGAGAAAGGTACACACAAATGACCCAGTTGCAAAATATCAGCATGGAGCTGGCTTTGGAATCAGAAGAAGACCTGGGTTCAAATTCTAACTCTGACACTTACTAGAAGGCAGTATGGTAGAGTGGGAAAGCATGGGCTCTGGACCCCAAAGCCCAGGGTTTGAATCTAGCTTGGATGCTTAATGACCATGTGACTTTGGACAAATCATTTAACCCCTTTGGACCTCAGTTTCCTCACTTTCCTCCTATGAGAAGGATGGAAGAGGATTCTACAGTTCCCTGCATACCTGAATCTAAATCCTGTAAGCAGAAAGGAGAAAGTCAACAAAAATGATACAAGTGAGAGTTGCGGAGAGGGAGGAATCCCTTTCAGCTGTGGAAAGAGAATGAGATATTCCTGCATTCTATAAAAGCTGAAACATGTTCAGGCAGGATAGAAGGTGGTCATGAGGTCTGTGCCTACAGAGACTATTTCCAGCTCTGTCTCCAAATAGAAGAGCCTCTCAGATAACCTGGGGGAGCTAATGCCCCATAGGCCCAACATGTTGTAGGAGGGACATTGGTAACCTGGAGGGATTCTTAGAAAAGACCAAACAGGATGTGGACATGGATTGAAACTGTTTACCTGGACCAAGAGAAGATTTAGGAGATACACAGCAGCTCTCTTCAGATATCGGCAAGGCCCTCGGCACAATGTATACAGTCAGTGTGTAACAAATGTTTGTTGACTGAGTGAATAAAGGATGATTAGTCTTGTTATGCTTGGCCCCACTTACAAGATCTAGGGCCAGTGAAGGGAAGTT